TTTATGGCTTAAAAAACTAAATTGCGTCCTGGAACTACCTTTCTCAGAGGAAGCTGACAGGGGATCGGACGACGTGTCCGGCCCTCCGCAGTCTTGAGGGCGGCGACGAGCGAGAGGGGGATGCGGAGAATGTGTGGGCGTCGGTGGGACTTCCTCGTGAATCTTCTCCTTGCTAACCTTCGTGGTACTTTCTGATGTTGGTGTCCTGTGTGGTTGTGATTTCTGTCGTTGGTTCTCTTTTTCTGATTCTCTCCTGGATGATATTTGCTTTGTGGGCGCTAGTATTTTGATACGGACTTTAGTGTAAATTGAGTTTATGATGTCGCTTGAATATGTCCTGACGGGTTCCTATCCTCATACACAGACCGCGAGTTGGTGCGAGTTGGCTTTGAAAAAGCTACGAACCTTCGACTATTGTTCATAGGCAATACATAATCTTTGTCCTAGTTGGGGTCGCCTACTTGTGGGCACTTGAGATGTAGAGGTGTATGATTATAATGAATAGACAATAATGATCAGGTGATTTATAGCAATGGGATTCAGCAGACCATGGCATGGAGGGTGTTCCCACCGGTAGTAGTGCATTGTAAACCATGGCGAGTACGTATAATATTGGTCACTAATGAACTCGGTAAGTTGATAGTTAGTATACATAGCTATTGTAATGGGGACATGAATTGAGTGGCAGAAAGAGAGAGGATGTAGAAAGGTCCACTGAGCGAGAGCGGGGTTGTGTCTACTACTTTGCGCCAGAGAGGAGTCTTTAGAGAGAAAGGGAGGTAGTAACATTGGGTCTATATGTGTTGCTAAGAACCCCTGGGGTCGAGGAGTGGGTGTGCTTGTTTGGGGAGAGAGGGTGCTGAATTTTCTAGCTAGCGCTTTTGGAGAAGATCGTTGTTGGTACAGAATCTTTTTATAGAGTGAGATAGTGTGATGTATATTATCCAGTAAAAGGCCAATTAAGGGTGATGACTTGTCTTTAGAGCTAGCTTAGTTGGATACTAACAGACAAAGTTGTTGATGCCGAGGAAATTGATTATTATTTATTTTAGTGTTAGTAGGTAAGTTTATTTTTTTGATAAGATCTCGATTGGCTAAGTAAATAATCTATTTTTCTTAGAATATATTTATCTTTTGATTTACATCTGTTAAAGTCCTAGCGTGATGACCAGGTAGTAGCTTTTTGAGGCATATTTTTTTTTTTGGATTTAATTCTTGGTTATTTATATAGTAATTTGCGAGTATTATCATAATTATGTAAGTCATTGTTATGAATATTCAGGGGACTTAGTTAATGTTTTATTTTGGAGGGGAGCTTCAATAGAGCTTGTGACTCTCGTCCATCCTGGCTTACAGTGCTGAAGAGGAACCTAGGTTTTCTTATTTTTCTTCTATTGAGTGCGATAAAGGCTCCTCTGGCGTTACAGGCCTTTCTATAGGTTTGTAAGATTCTTGCCAAAATTGAAGCGATATTCTGAAATTGGAAGAGCGCCATTTCCTTTCGATTCCAAGCTTTTTGCTTAAATTGGCGAGTTGGTGGTTGTACCACGTGCTATCTTCTATGTTTAATAATTTCCTTTTATAGGGGGACAGAATCAATGTTTAAAGATATATTTAGCAAAAACAATAGTAATAAAATTTATTAAATCAGTTCATCAGCCGAAAGTAAGTGTAAATACAAAGAAGAAAATGATCAAAAGAAAAACTCACCTAAAATGAACATGGCGTTCAATTGTGGTTAATCTAACATTCATAAGAGTTGGTATAAGCTGTGAAGGTTATCATGACCCAGATAAAGTCCGTGTAGGGACCCTGAGCAGAAATGACTGCTGGCCCTATTGACACAACATTCTCACCCTGTACATTATTACAGTACTGCCCATGCTGGAAAAAACCATGGCCAAGGTGGCTTGTGGTGTAATATAGTAAATATTTATATTTTCAAACAAAGTTACACAATTTCCCCAAAACCAGGTAATAAGTCCAGTGCTGGTTGTGGGATGCTGGCTTGCTGGCAAATGGCTTGAAGTCAGTTCCCAGCAGTCAGTTTCCAGGCACAAAAAAACACTGTAACCAACTTAAATTTACTTACTAAGACATTCCAATTTGAGCACACTCAGGGCCCATGTACTCAAGACCTGCCGTGATTTCCTACTAGGAAGTGCGTACACTTAAAGTGAAAGTTCCGTACGCACAAAAAAAATTTCAGTATGTATCAAACTGCGTACGCAGATACACGCAACATTGTCTTGTACATCGCAATACAACCGTGAAGGAGCAACATGCACGAGCACAACGCCACCCTGTCCCCTCCCTCAATTACACCGATTGAAATAATCTTAATTAGTATAAATAAGCCAGATATTGCGTCTTTAGAAAAATGGCAAAAGCCAGGGAAAAAAAAAAATTTTTTTTACAGATGTGAATTTGAGGTTCCTGCTTACCGAGTATGAGGCCAAACATTTTTTTTATTTTGCGTGGCACAGGCAGTAACCGTAAGGGTCGGAAGAACCGCACCGCAAGCGAGTTGAAAAAAGAAGAATAACATATGTGCCCATCGCCAGAGCCTCAGGCAACAGGTGGTGATCCCTGTATACGTTAACTGAATACTGTACTGCTGTATTGTGAAAGGGGGTTACGGTAAACTACAAGTGAACGTGACTGTCACCCGACGCTCCCAGTGAGCGCTAGTTGTTTTGTGTGTGACCATGCTGATGAGACGGCGGCACATCGGTTCCGACTTTATTGTTAACGTTAAATTAAAAAGAATATGCCAAGAGGCTAAAGATAATCGAGTGTGTTCTACTTATCCTCCATACCGCAGTAGAGGACTTGCGCGCTGGCAGAAATAACCCTTAACACAAATAGCTGCCAAATATTTGAAATTGTGTAATTGCTTGATTGATGTAAAAATACAATGACTTTCGCATGCAGTGCAACTGTCCCCGAGAGCAATTGTTAAAATTCGGCCTAGCAATTAATGCATCGCCTGTGTGTGGTCCGCCAACTGACAACGACATAGCAAAAAATAATGTACGTACCCAGCAATGAACTCCGTGGGACCGCACATTCTCACGTTCATTTCACTTTTAGTACACCAATGAAACGTGAAAAGTGGGAGAACGCCACAATTTGTGGTACGCAACGTTAGTACATGAGGCCCCAGGCATTTTGTCTGAGCATGGCTTTCTTTTCCTGCTATGACTGGTTCGTCATAGGTCATCTGGGGGCCCAAGGCAGTTAGCAGCTTTACTCACCTGCCAGTCACACAACCTTGAAGATGCATTTTTAAGTGCTGGCACTGGTGCTGGAATGAGGGGGTCAAAGAGACTTTTTGTCCCCTGCAAAAAAAGAAAAGAAAAAAAAGGCCCTATCTAGAACCAGTGTTTGGTTTGTCCGTTCTGGGTTACTATAGAAACATGGTGGTTCAACATGGAGGGATGCCCTTAAGGGGGAGGAAAGTGGGAAAAAAGGGGGGCCCTCGAGGCCGACAATAATTATTGTTATTATTTTGAACCGAAATACTCACCATTACTAAATAAAATTAAATATTCTTTGTTTGTATTTATTGTTTCCGCCCACATAACCTCAGAAATGTACTGATCTAAACTAAACTAACAGCTAGTTAATGTTGGAGTGAAGAACAATTAAAATAATTTTAAAATGAAAATTGCAATATTGATTGTTTATTAGAACTTACTACTACTACCTATACGCGCAGAAAAAATATATCTGTACCCAACCCTGTTAAATCCACCATGTATGGACATAGAGTTCTCCGGCGTTCCACAGACTGACATTACTGTGTGTTCCAGTCACAGTAGTGACTCAGCAGAGAGAGTGTACAGATATCACTCTATAGTGTTGGCGTGGGTTTCCTCCGGGTTATCTCCAGTTTCCTCCCACATTCAAAGACATGCTGCTCATTATGTACACATCTACATTTAATCTGAACCTCAGTAAATGCTAATTATTAAATGTAATTACTAGTGGGACATCTCTTCATTGTCTATCAGAGTCAATACAGTTTGACTAGAAAGGTTCGTTGAGGTGATGCAAGTGACCAATGCCAGCTGAGGTTAATTGTGGCCAGTGCAGGACAGGAAATCAGTTTACTAGTTTATTGTCAGTTTCAGGGGTCAGCCACACACAAGTATTTGCTATTGGTTGAGGCAAGTAAGGTTTTATTCACCCCTTTACTCAGAATGGAAGTAAATGAGAGAGAAGTATTTGCCAGGGTTGATTCGTGTATGTGACTCTGCCCTAATTCGATCAGCTAATATTGGCCTATGGCACAATATTGTATCGGTATCAGGGTTTATGTTATCCAATATGTGCAGATATGAAAACTGCCTTTTTTCCCAGTGTATAATGCAGAAAACAATCCCATTACAGTCATCTTCTTCCTAAGGCTAAAGTCTTTTTATACAGATGTATTTAAACATCACCCAACCTGGAGAAACTTCAAATAAGTAACATCTACAAAATTCAAAGTTGTGACAAAGTTAAATTAGATGTTCAAAGTCCCCTAAATTTAAAAAAATTCAACGTTATATGGACCCTTCCTAAGTCCCGCCCCTCTTTGCTCCAGTAAGAGTTGAGCAAGCCTCGGTCAACTTCCTCTTTTCCTGTACTTAGATACGATATATGCTAGGCTAATCTATGCTGAAAAGACAACCACATTGTGAAGATGGTTAAAAAATAAAACAGATATATATATATTCACATGTTAAGTTAACTAACTAGTTAATAACTAGCCAGCTAACTAGCTAGATAATGTATGCAGATTAGCTAGCTGGTTAGCTAGTGTTAAGATGTGAAGATATATATTTTCTATCTTTTTACCATCTTAAAAATTATGATCTTTTCAACATGAGCCTAGCATGTAGCATATCCAAGTACAGGAGGTACAGGGGCAGGACTAATAAAGGGTCAGCTGTTTGTGTTGCCTTGAAATGTTTACACATATTATATCCTCATGAATAAAATGCTCTGGCAGGCACAGCAACAACGTAATAGTTTATTGAGTAGATATTCAATATTTGTGACAGTGAATACATAATTAAGTAGAATACACAGGGACACTGACTTTTATTAGATGAACATTAAGAAAATATTGGTGTAGGGTTTAAGAAGTTTTAGAAGCATTTGGGTTATAACAACAAGCCTCCCTGTCTCATTAACAAAGATGGTCAAGTAAAAAAAAAAAAATTACAGATTCAAACTCCATCTTCAAGGTTGTTAATGACTCACAGACAGACACCAAGGCAAAGCGTGAAAAAAACACATTCACACACATTCAATACAAATACACTCACACATGCACCATGCAAATATGACATAAAAGAAATGAACGTAATAAAAAGGGAGTCCATATTTCTATGAAAGCTACTGTGTTTCTGAGAGTTGATTAGTGGCTGGCTTTGTCGTAACCTCACAGACTGAGTCAGAGATCAAGAATGGACCAAAACAACAACAGCAGATGCGTACTGTCCTTTCACAACGTGTCATGGAGATCCTTGAAGTGTCACTGAAACGGCTACACCGCTCCTCTTAAGCGATTCACTGATTTAGAAATGAAGAAAAAAAGAAGAGATCAAATATTGAGCAAAAGAGGGTCAAAGATGTCATTTCACAGCGCCCGTCAACAAAATGGCTACAATGAAGATTCACACTTCTTAAAAAATGAAAATAACAAAACAGGAAGGCTTCTCTCCCTTCCCTCTTCCTCCACTCTCTATACTGTGCTGTCACTGGCCACGTCTGTGCCTGAGCCTCCAAAAGGGACGCTGGGGTTGGTCTCCATGGCTTGGTAAACCAGGAACAGGAAGGCAGCCACAATGGCCAGCAGGAACAGCTTTATCCATGGAGATACGCTGCGGTGTGCTGCTGCAGCCTGACCTGCAGGGGGAGCTGCAGCCAGATGCCTGGAGGAGGAGGATGTGGAGAAAGAGGAGGTGGAGGTAGAGGAGTTGAAGGAGGCAGAGGGGGGCAGGCTGTTGACTCTGTTGATGGTGCGGGTCTCTGTGTGGGAGGAGGAGCTGCTGGTCTTGGTGGTTTTTGGAGAGAACAGGGAGTTTTCGTCATTCCACAGATCACTGGACTTGAGTGGACGACCTGCGGCTCCTCGAATGGGTCGTCGACAGGTGGCGCTACAACAGAGAAGGATTTATTTCAATCAATTTGATTATTCAGTGTTTCTCCTACAGCGTACATTCATTCAGGCTGCCATAGCAATTCAACCTCCCGTCACAATGATCCCAGTGAGTTCCACACAGGGAGGTATACAGAGAGGTATACAGAGATTACATTTGTACTCCCTGAGTTGAGTTATGGCTATTGGATCTGTGCATTCCTACTGCTAAAGCTAAAGCTAGCTTATTAATGACACTGACATAGCACAGGAAACATCTGGCTCCTCCTAGTGCTTTAATGGCATTTGTAAGAATCCACTGGACCTGAATGAGAATAACCAATCAGATCAACAATCAGCTATCAAGAAAGGTAGTTGATCGTACAGTGTCGGGATTTGACTTGGGAATGAGACTCAATCAAATCCTAATTGGTTATTTTTGTTCAGGCGCTGTGAAAACTTGTCTGTCCTCCCGCTCACACAACATACATCAACATGACTGTGACTGCGTTTGTTGCCTTCTTCTTCTGGGAGGTTTTATAGCAGTTAGCAATTAGCATTGAAAATGGGATACTGAATATAGAAACAAACTTGCATTCAAATTTATACTGAACTTATTCATAGAATAATTACTTTAGGAATTGAGCATGACTGATATTTTTTTAATTAACCTTTCATGTACCCCTTGTAGTACTCCAAAGTTCCCCCGTTTGAGAAACACTGCCTTAGGACATATGAGTGCTGGTTGAAAACACCACATTAGGCTCTAGTAACCTGCGATAGGTTTTTGTCGAAATGTTTTACCATTAAATAGAACAATAGTATAGTAATAGTTCCAACCTGCAGGCCACGAGGGCTTGATTTTAAGGCATGCTAGAACTTAAAAATATATACAGTACGCCTGTACCTAAGCATTTGGTTAACTTCTGTGAACAAAAGCAAATTTCAAGTAAATTTTCTAAGAATAATGGCCAAGTGTCAGGGACAAGAAAACACTGAATTTGTCAAAAAAAAGAAAAGAAAAGAATAAAGCCTATTAAGTTTGATAAAAATTATAAACATATTGAAGACAGAATTCAGAAAAGGAAACAATCTGCTCAAAACTGATCCAAATCACTTGTTTTACACAAACTTCCTTATGAAAAAGTTCATTGTTTGAGTTCATTGCATATAATATGAATATAATATGAAATATCCATTAAATATGTCACTGAGTCGGTTTACTGAATGATAGAAAAGGGGCCCCTGACAGGAAAAAGGTTGCTAGCTGCGGTTACAGACAATAAAAAAAAGCATTAAATGATTACTTACGTGATTCCTGTGGGGCTGTTGATGTCATTGGGGAACAGCTCCTTCAGAACTTCATTCTCCTCCACTTTCAGGGGTTGCTCGCTGGCTGCAATCTTCTCCACCTAAAGACAAAAAAACAAAAACAAGAGGGTGATTTAAAGACCAAACATGAGCACATTATTTAAAGAAATAAAATCAAG